CAGCACATTAAAGGAACAAAACATAACTCTCGCCTACAAAACAAATAACACGTTAGCTAGAATCTACACAACAACAACAAGCCCACTAGACATACAGCAACAAAACAACGTTGTTTATGAAATAAAATGTAAGGGCAAAGAGAACGAAAACTGTGGTAAAGTGTACATAGGGACAACAAAACGCGCATTAGGTGTTCGCATAGCCGAACATCAAACAGATATAAGGAAACAAATACACAGCACAGCCCTATCACAGCACATATTAAACAGCGGCCACACAGCTGATTTCACTAACACTAGGATTATTGACAAGGAAAAGAGGGAAATGACGAGATACACTTTGGAAAGCTTAAGAATATTAGAAAAAAGGGAGAATACGATCAACAAAAAAGAAGATACGGACAACATCGCGGCCGCCTACATGTTATGCATATCAAAATAAACAATTTAGTAATGACAAGACTACCATAGAGAGTGGTACTGATTATGTGTATATGTATTAATATTAAGTTTAAAGCAAATGTTTAATATTATTGTGAGTATATGTTCTTTGCATTAGTCCATAATTGTTGTATTTGTTTTTACAAACACATGTATGCCAACTTGTATTATTCATTTTAACATCTTTTGTTTTTTCCTTGTATTTCTTTGTTGGATTTAATAAACATAGTCGCCCCTGATGATGCTGGAAATTTCAGCGAAACGTCGGGCAACGAAGGTGGAATAAGTGTTTTATTTGCACCATTAAATAATAGATCACACCAGCCTACAAGTGTACCAAAAATATATTCTACAAACTGATCGCTACAAAAACCAAAAAACAATAAAAGTTCTTTCATTTTTAACCTCTTGTCAGTTTATTACATGCATGTATGCTCTTTTTAATTTTCAGCTCTCTCGAATAATTTCCAGTAACTACCACATACTTAACGTATGCAAAAACACTGAAAATTTTATTCAATTTACAGCCACATTTATAAATACGGTGACCATCCGTCCCGTGTTATACGGGAGAGTCCCCTTTTTTGATCCATTGTCCTGGTAATTTATTTATTTTATACGGGACGCCAAATGGAATGTATTTTTTTTTAATGTCCTGTATTTGTCCAGCATTCGGTGTTTCGATGCCTTAACAGCTCAATAAAATGGCATGCCTATGCACGAGTTTTTGAGTGACGTTGTTAAGTATGTGATCGTAATTTTCTCCATAAACAGTTGTTATTTTCTAATCTGAATGCCTGTGATTCGAAACGACCAAAATTAGAAATTAGGACTTGACATCTTAGTTAGTTTTGACTATTTTTCTATAGTTTATTTAATGTTTATTATTTATTTTATGAAAGTGAAGCTCGTTTCCTAACAAAACCATATAATACCAAGTTTGCAACTTTGTGTAAAAAACTATAAAAATTTATTCTGCAATGTTTTACCAAAATTCCAAACTTTTTAATAAGAATATTAAGAAAAAAAATTTGATTTGCAGTTTAGTAACTCGTAAAAATTGAGCATAAAAAGTGCGAGTGGTAAGCCATTAAAAGTGCACTTTATTATACGAAAATTTAACAATTTGTTTAAACTAATTTTACGTGGTAAAACTCTCGAGAAAATTATCCTACAAATTTGTGATGCTACTAAAAGGATACTGTTTCCGGGCTAATACATCTAGGATAATTGAAGAAGGCTTTAAGATTTGTAAGCAGTTTTAGAAAAAATTTGCAAAATTATTTTTTTGTCCCGTATTCGGCTCTCATAAATATGGTCACCGTAACTATAAATGCTAACAAATACTTACATATGTAAGTAAATGTGGTATGTACTCGTATTTACACAAAGAGCGAACAATTTTCATGCAGCATAACTTTTATGTAAAAATTTTATTTTATTTTTTTCATATCTAATTTGCATATAACAACAGACTTTATGAAATAGTTATGACCGAAATATGCTCGGTACAGCGAAAGTTTTTCGTACGGCATACACACAAATACATACATATAAATGCATTTGTTTTTATTTAATGTACGAAAATTCAAACAATTAGTCTCATGAATATTTGAATAAATCAGAGACAAAACGTTTATATCTGTGTAAATTAAAAATTGTGCATTTAACTTAAATTTTCAGACTTTAAATGGTTAGCAATGCCCGGTGACCAACTGCTAACTGAATCCCGAATATTTATTAGCATGGCTCAAACAGGCAAATCATAGAATTTAGTCCAATTTACGCCTCCCACCAAAATAGTTTCGTGTCATATTCATTGCTCGAACAAACCAGGACCATAGGTCTTCCGTCATCTTTGTTCTTCATGGTCCATGCTTCTGTGCCATATAAAAGAAAGAGCATGATGAGAGATTCTTCGCTTCATCACCAGGCAAACATTAGCTATGTTTCCTTGGGCAATGATCGGGATCCGGATAAAAAAATATGCACGCAAATGCAACAACAACGATATGATCCTGATAGAGATCTGGTTCAATTTATGATCCGCTCTGTTTGTTTTTGTTTCACTGATAATCTGCTGCACGGTTTGGTAGCACTGGCAAATGAACGGATACACAAACAGATATTCTACCATTTGTTTCTTTAAACTTAATTCAAATAAATCGACTTTATGTTAAATATTTTTTTAAGTGAATATTATTTCATTTAAATGTACTTTTCCGCTGATACTGAGCTGGATAACCCAAGAAAACACAACTACTATTGGTAGCGATCAGTAGTGGAAAAGTAGGACTATTGTATTTTCTCAGTCCTTTTTTAGTTTTAAGGTATATATTTATTTTCGGTACATTTAAAACATTCCTCTATTTAGTTCAAAACTTTTCTTCAATGTGGTTCTCTCCAATAAAAGTTCTGGCCTAAAACAATGAAAGCGCCTTTACGCTTAAAATCCAGCTCCCGAGAAATATTTTTAATTCTTTCTGTCGCTTGAAAAGACAAGCTTTCTTAAAAAAATATGTAGGTACACAAGCATTGTTTTCCTGAGAGCTGCAAGTTATTTAAGAAATTTGATATAAGAAAATTTCTTTTTAATCTCTTGAGAGTTTTTGATTTTGTTGAGAGCAGGATACTGTTCTTTATTCAAATAAGTTTTCCATAAATTGTTTCCTTCTTGCAATTATATCCACTAATTGCAGACGAATCCGTCTGAGCTTAGTTCGCGTAGTCTTAAGCGCCACAAATATTGCATCTCTTTGTTTTCTCGAATCCACCCGAACACATCTCCTCATCGTCTACGTTTAGGGACACGAATTTCGATACGATACGATATCATATCGATACTTTTGGCATTCGATACCGATATTTTCTACTCGATAGTTTTAAAACGATACTTTTTAGAATCGAGTACCAGAACCCCAGTATCGTATCGAATGTCATAAACTCACATTACAAGGATAATGTTATTAACAATCCTTCCAGATATAAATTGGACTTTAAAGAGCAGAAATTTGTAATATAGTTAGGACTGCATGTGGTGGAATTTGAACCCGCGACTTCGGTGTTTTAAGTCAACACCTCTATCTCTACGTGTTGCTACACAATATGTTAGTGTTTGACCGGGATTCTTAAGTTCTGAACACATTGAAAACGACGAACTACGGGTCACAGCTCTCAATTTGTTACCTTCATTATCTAACCGCTTTGTCGATGACGACATGATTTTTTTAAACGGGGCAGCGACATAATAAATTTGTATGAGTTTGACATAAAAGAAGAGGAAGAACCTTATCTGTCGCTGGAAAAATAGAAATAGATTTAATCTGGCCACAACCACAGTCGTCGCCAAAATAATTATCTACATAAAAATACGTGTTAAGTACGTGTGGTCCGTAGGTCGTCGTTTGCATTGGATTCGGGCTATTAATGTTGTGGCACAAAAGGGGTCCCTACAGTTTTATGTCGACTTTGAACGGCGAGTTTTTTTAATGGGAAGCTGTTTTTCATTTTCAAACTCTGCGCACTTCTATCCATTACACCACAGCGGCCTATATGCGAGACCTATATTCAGATAAATTTTTTGGATTTTGGTATCGATATTTTGAATATCAAGTCTTTTTATTCCGATATTAATAGGTACCCGATATTTTTAAAGCGATACTTTAAATGAGTACCATATCGATACTTTCTGTTCGATATCGTGTCCCTATCTACGTTGCTGTGTCATACAAGATGAGAAGAATTAGCAGATACTTTTCTTAAAATCGATTTCTGTTCGCTTAGTAGGCACTTGCTTTATAGGTAGCCTAAAAAAGCGACAGTTAGCAAGAGTTATACTTTGCTCGTTCACAGACTTTTATCTAAACAAAGCCCTTTATAGTTTCCGGCAACAGTACATGGACCCTTTGTTTGTTGCTAGGAGGTAATTTCACTCGAAAAGTTGAAATTAATCGCCTTTTCGTAAAATCAGTAAAAACCAGATTTGCAGTGTATCGATTGATTTACATACATAAGTTATATATGGGTGTTTCCATCGGAAGGTCTACCGTGACAAAAAAAAGTCATATATCCAACGTATTAATGGGGCAATGTTATATATACTGGCTATGCAAATAAAAAAATTGTTGCGTAAAATGATCTTGGTATGTGGCACCAAGGTCGAGATATTTTTAAAAACCGATTTGGTTCGAATTTCGCGTATGCAGTTAAAACATAATAAATACTAGATTTCCATAAAAATTTACCCTGAATTAGCGCTGAAGTCAAAACATGCATGTTTTATTTGCGTTATAACTTGATT